ACACTTTGATCGCCCCACATGTTAACCCCTTCCTGCCCAGTGCCATTAGTACAGTGTCAGTGCTTTTCAATAGCACTGATCACTGTACTGGTGTCACTGAGGATGTCTATGACACCAAGTCAGTTCCCTCCAGTGTCAGAATCCCGCTATAAGTCGCTGATTGCCGTCATTACTAGTAAAATATTTTTTTAAAAAATTCCAGTATATATACTGCCATTTGTAAACACTATAACTTTCACGTAAACCAATTAATTTACACGTATTGGGATTTTTTTTATCAAACACATGTAGCAGAATACATTTTGGCCTAAATTTATGACGATATTTGATTTTTACATTTTTTTTACTGGACATGTTTAATAGCAAAAAGTCAAAAATATAGTTATTTTTTCAAAATTGTCGGTAGTTTTTTTGTTTATAGCGCAAAAAATAAAAAATGCACAGGTGATCAAATACCACTTAAAGAAAGCTCTATTTGTGGGGAAAAAAAGGACATAAATTTCATTTGGGTGCAGCGTTGCAGTTAAAGTAACGCAGCACCGTATTGCAAAAAAATGGCCTGGTCAGGAAGGGAAGTAAATCATCTGGAGGGCAAGTGGTTAACAAAAAGCTCAAACTATCGCATCATATCATCCAAATGAATATGAATAAATTTGAAGTTTTTGTTATAGTTTTTTGGATCAGTTGAAATTTGTTACTATTGTGATTCAGAGATTTGGCTACATCTGAATCCAAATCATGCAAATGTCCGAAGTTCGGTCTGTAATGAAATGAATCACACCTGTCTAATAGATTAATTGATACAGAGGAATGCAGCTAAGTGAGAGAGGAAAACATAGGAAGAGGTTTAAAAAAAAAGATAAAATGGAGAGGTCCTAGCAGGAAGGAACTATCAAAGAGACCTAACAAGAAGTTTCTAATTCTTTAGGCACGTGACACAAAAAATGCACTGTTGGTGCATTTTAGTGCACTTCCTATAGAAATCAATGGGAAGTACATTTTAGAGCACTTTTGACAAGTTCACCAAAGATGCAGCATGCACGACATTTTAAAATGCAGTGCAGCAATGTCAACAGTTACAAAAATTTAAAGGGGAATACTTTTCATGTGCTTTTATCATACTGGAAAGGTGTGGGTTTTTTTATAAGTACTAATACTTGTGAGCTAATATGGTGAAATAAAAGTGATCAATTAATCAAATAATTTACTAATACATGCACATGTGGTTCGCTAGCTCCTTACACCAACTCATAAATAGTGCCACAACATACAAAATAAAAATTATATTATTAATGAATAATAATATTTAGTGGATCATTAGCATACACCAACGTGCAACCAGCTGAGTGAGAGATCTGGAGCAGGAGTAGTTTTCATCTGTCCTGTCAGGACAAAAAGTGTTTTTTGCCTATTTATATATTAGGCAAAAATTGGAGGTGAGCGCAATATATATTAATATTCATCTGTGTTTTTCCCCATTTGGTGACACGAGTTTTTGGATTTATCAAGAGGACTGTTCATTTAACACAGAAATTGTTTGTATCAAGGCTATTATATTATATTATATTGTTTTTGTTATTTTAATATGTTTTTTGAGTATATAGTTTGATTATGAACTGATAATCACTGTTGCAAGTTTTTTTTATATAATTAATTTAGCACGGGAGTGCAGCACTAAATATTATTATTCATTAATAATATCATTTTTATTTTGTGGGGTTTTTTTGCCTTCCTCTGGATCAACTGTGGGTGTAGGATTATAACTTTTTATTTTCTATGGTTGAACTGGATGGACTTTTGTCTTTTTTCAGCCAGACTAATGCAGGCCATAGACGGGTTGAAAACCGTCCATTTTAAAAAAAGAAAAATCGGTCGTTCAATAGGCCGACGTTACCACCAATGGTAAAAAACATTGGCCGATTTTCGTCCCGTCTACTTCTGTCCCTTGCAGAGAGCTCTGCTATTATATTTGACATGAAAAAGTATTTGCAACAATGTATCCATTTCGGATACAGATGGTTTTATTCGGATACAAATAGATACATTGTTGCAACCGCAATACTTTTTCATGTCAAATATAATAGCAGACTGGAATTCTTTTTTTTCTTCTTTTTCTTATTCCTCTTCTTTTTCTTCTTGCAGGTCATGTGCAGATTTTTTATTGGTAAAACGATCAGCTGATTTTCCCATCATTGCCGGGAAAATTGGTCGATCGGCAAAATCGGACGATTTTTTTCAAACTTTATTGATAAAAAAAAGTGCCAAAACCCCCAAAAAACGGCCAACCAATTAACCCACTAACGGTGCGAAAATCAACAGATTTTTTTTTTCGGCCCGTCTATGGCCTGCATAACCATGTAACTATATGTAACTATGTTGTAGCTCGGCAAAAGCACACTAGTGTGAAAGGGCCCTAACGATATATAACGAGTGATGCTGGTCACGTGGGGGGGGGAGAATTTACTAAAACTGGAGAGCTCAGAGTCTGGTGCCACTGTGCATGGTAGCTAGCTTCTAACTTCAGTTTGTTCAATTAAAGCGGTTGTCCAGTCAACATTTAAAAAAAACTGTAGCTGCTGACTTTTAAAAAGTAGACACTCACCTGTTCCTTGATCCAGCGGTGTCCTCATGAGTCCCTGGTATCTTCAGTGTGGGCATCCGGCTGTGACAGCTTACAGCTTCACAGCTAGGTGCCCACTGCGCATGCGTGAGTAAGCACTGTGCTTTGTGAAAGGTCCCGTATTCTTCTGGGACCTGTCATGTGTCCAAGAAGATTACGGGGATGGGGGACAACTTCTGCTTCCGATCGCCTAGCGAGTACCTGTCAAATTTGGGTAAAACCCATTCCCCAAAGGTGCCAGTCCTTAAGGGGTTGGACAAAAATATGGAGACAGTACATGATCTGCAGGTGTGAAAGTGACGACATGTTGCAAGTTGAAAGCGCAAGTGATGTAACATTATTTTGCTTCCGCTGTGTGATGAGACACCTAGCTAACAGCTGGGAAGCCTCATTTTCATCATTCACTGCGTGCGCTGCTATTAGTCCAGAGTCATGCCAGAGCTTACTGAGCTTCGTAGAAGGAAAATTTATTTGCGGTGTCACAAAATACAGTATCAAAGGTTATGACGGCATAAACAGCTTCCCAGGAAAACCTCATCTGATAAGCATAAGCATAGTCAACTAACAAAAAGAGACAAAAAGGACATTACGCAGGATTGTGACCCAGAATAAGAAAACAACTGCTGCAAAAGTGACTGCAGAGTTCAATCTCAAGTCTTCTAAAGCCTACGTCCACAAAAAGTGTGCGGAGGGAACTCCATAAGCAAAACATTTACGGGCGAACTGCAATTGCCAAACCACTAGTGACTGATATTAATGCTCAGAAGAGGAGAGAGTGGTGCAACACCCATATATCGTGGACTATCAATGGAAGACTAATATTATTCGATGAATTGGGCTTCACACTGTTCCCAACCACCGGACATGTTTACGCTGGGCAAACACTGTGCCAAGCTTATGACCAGGATTGTCTTATGCCAACAGTAAAGCATAGTGGTGGCGAAATCATGGTTTGGGCAGCCATATTTTGGTATTCTGCAGGACCCATCATCACCTTGAAAGATAGAATCACTGCCAGCGACTGTGTACACATTTTGGCCAACCATCTGACCCACATGGTGCAGACATTGTTTCCCTAAGACAGTGTAATTTACCAAGACGATAATGCTCTGATTCACACAGCTGGTATTGTCAAATCGTGGTTTGCTGAGCATGCAGAAGTCATCTCATACCTTCCCAGGGTGCTTCAGTCGCTGGACCTCAATCTCAGAGACCAGTGGGGTCCTGAGGCAGGTGCGGGGGATGCAGTCTGCACCGGGTAACACCGACCGCACAGGGTGACACCAGACCCATTACACAAAAAGGTAAGTTGTAAAGCAAGTCGACGATCGTCGGCTTTCTTTACAACTTACCTTTTCTTGGAGCGGGTCCGGTGTCACCCCGTATAGGTTGCATGTGGACAATCCTGCGGGGTGACACCAGTGTATCGGCAAGATGTGTCTCCCATGTAGATGTCCCCCTGAAGCAACTGCGTATGTCCCGGTTTCAGGCACGATCAATCGATGATAGAACTACTGCTATCATGGATTGATCATGCCTAAAACCAGGACATGCGCAATTGTCCCGGACCCACGCCAAGAAAAGGTAAGTTGTAAAGAAAGCTGACGATCCTCGCAGGATGGATCGGATCTGCGGATTGAGTATAATGGATCGGAGTCCGATCCATTATGCTCAATCTGCAGATCCGTTCTGCGGGGATGGTCGGAGGGGGGGGGGTGTCACCAAGTGTTACTGCACCAGGTGACACCAACCCTAGGGACGCCTCTGTCGGAGACACTATGGTCAATTCTAAAGAACAAGGTTCGGCTCGCTTTCTGCCTCCAGCATCTTTGCAGGAACTGGAACAATGTTTGAATTTTTGGAATATCAGATTCCATTATCCACCATCGAAGACTCATAGCTGTCAATTCCCAGGAGAATTCATGCCGCCTTTGATGCCAGAGGCGGTCCATTAGGTAACAATGTTGTTCTTTTATCTGGTGTTTCCAACATTTTGTCCAACCCCTGTATGTGGAGTAATAGGCGCTCCTCAGTCTGTGGGACACAACGAAGAGCAGCCAGACCGGCGCTCACGCCTATCCACACTCCACCGCTAGGAGCGCTCCAAGCAGCAGACGGGCTCCCGGGTGAGCGGCGGGTCTAGTTCACAGTCTAGTTCGCTGACGTCAGTTCCGGGGCACAGTGGGCGCGTGCGGAGGGGGGGGGCCGTGAGCCCAGACGAATGGTCAAAATGGCGGCCGCTCAGTTAACGGATGAAGAGCTCGTCTTTGAGTTGAGGCGTTCGGGTATGATGCCGGGGCCGGTGACGGATAGCACCAGGCCGGTCTACCTGAAGAGACTGAAAAAGCTGCGCGAGGAGCAGAGGAACCGGGCGGGGAAGATGCGGTTGACCAACAGCCTGGCGGCGGCGGGGCTCTTGGAGAGCGGAGGAGCCCGCCCGTTAGTCGTGGAGGTGACGCACAGGAGAAGCAGCCGACCGTCATCTCAGACGGAGGCCGGAAAGTCTCCGGTGCTGCTCGGCTTCAGCTCGGATGAATCTGACTCGGATATCCCCCAAGCGGCGGTCAGGAGCCCGGCCCAGCGGGACTGTGTGGAGCCGATAGACGGGCGGAAGGCGCCTGTATGGTGGGGGGCGCGCAGGCCACAACACCACCACCCCTCCTCGGAGGATGAAGAGGACAGGAAGAGCAGGGCGGTGAATGGCAGCCGCCTCTCCTACTGCCGGGACTGTTCGGACTCCGATGAGGAGGAGGAGGCTGCGAAGGACGAGGCGCTGAGCCGCCGGAGCAGACGGAATGTGAGCAGACAGGCCCGGGATAACGGCATGGAGCCTCCCGACACAGCGGCCTGGGACAGGGACGAGAGCCAAGTGTCTGCCAGACACCGGACCGCCAGGAAGTCTCCAGACAAAAGCAACAATCACCTGGGGGCCAGCCACAGCCACGACGGCGGCTCCACAGCCCGCCTGTACACGGCCAGCAACAGCATTCCCGGCCGGATCCCCTACTCCAACCATGCCGGGCCCAACCACACCTACTACAGCAAGAAGAAGCCGCTGCCCGAGCCCGAGGAGGAGCTCCTCCAACAGTTCAGGAGTGCCGAGGTGTCCCCCACCGGCGGCTTCAGTGCCCACTACCTGTCCATGTTCCTGCTCACTGCCGCCTGCCTCTTCTTCTTCTTCCTGGGGCTCACCTACCTGAGGATGCGAGGCACGAGCCTTGCTGGGGAGGAGAGCAGTAAGTATATGCCACATCTAGCCGAACTGGTCCATTGTTAAGGCTGGGCATAGATTGTGCTCCACATTAGGGCCACCGTACACCAATTCACTCCAGTCCCCCGTCCATGCTAACCAACAGCAAGGATGGAGGAATCTCCGTTGTAGTCCCAGTAACTGCCAAACAGTGATTGCGTCTGATGGGATGATACATCTGATAGGACGCAGCCACTGTTTGGCCGATAATTTTCAACACAGTTCTAATAAAGCCATAGACACGGGTCAAATGTTGACAGTTTCAACTGAAACCAACTGACATTTGGCCTGTCTACATCAGCCTGTTCAACAGAAGCTGTTTGGGTGTGCTGGAAAACCAGCATCCGATCAGTGCTGGCAGCCAAGGGCTGCGAACACTGACTGGTGTTTTCTGGAGGAGGGGACATTTGATGGAACAGTGAGCTCCTCCCGAGCTTTGTATTTTTTTTTTTTTTTTTTTTTTTTCGTTCAGCCCACTGGGTTGAATGAAAAAAAAAAAAAACTGATAATGTGTACTAGGCATAAGGCTACGTTCACATGGCTATAAAACATTTACCAATCTTACTAACAAAGTGTTTTTGTTTTTTTCTAGCACAAAAGTTCCTGTGTAATTGTTTATTATAGGTACTTATATAGGGGGGGGCAGTTATTTGGCTCGTTCACACCATTTAACAGAGACATCAGTTTTTCTGCATGCATTCTGCAGGGGCACAATGAAATCACTTGTTCTCTATGTGCCCTGTTCACACCACAACACTGGTATCCAGTGCGGATTTGTTTCTGTGTCAGAGTCTGCAACGGGTATAAAACTCATTGAAGCGCGCATGAAAACTGATATCTCTGCAAGTGAAATCTGCGTGTCAGTTTCCATCTTTTTCTGTATGTATGGTGGGAATGAGGTCTTATGCAGAGCTTTAGTGCTGGTTCATATATATGCGGATTGGATGCTGTTTGAACATGACGTGAAAAAAATTGCTTCCTATGCTGCTATTCACATATGTCTGGCGTACTGGCAGTGCGGCTTCAGTGTGGTTTGAAAGAGTCCTGTACAATTTCTGAGCAGTGTAGATCAGTACAGCTGTGGATTAAAGGCTATTGACTTCTATGGGAACTGTTTCTAAACCGCACATGTGTGAACAGGATAAGATCCAGAGCTAATCCTGACATAAACCTGACTTGAACCGCTGAACAACTACAATAAGCTGTGAAACCTGAGCTTCAATCTGCACTGCACATGTGTGAATCAGCAATTACATGAATATTGTACATTCACATCAGTCCCTGCCCTCAAGGGGCGTACAATCGAAAGGTCCCTAACTCACATACTAGTGTCAATTGAGTCCAGAGCCAATTAATCTACCATGTCTTTGGAGTGTAGGAGGAACCCATGCAGGCACAGGGAGAACATACAAATTCCAGGCAGGTAGAGTCATGGTTAGATTCAAACCAGGTATCAGTAAATCCTTGCGTAAAAATTGTCTTTTTTTTTTTTTTTTTTTCTAATATTTGTATCTGACACATGTTTATGAGCACAATATACTTCAGCACAATTTATAGTAGTAAAACTATTCGTGGTGCACAGAAATTAAAATTCTGGTAACAAAAATGTAAAATGCACTTGGCCAAAAACTGAAATGCGCAGTTTTTAAATAAATTTTTTTGGAAAATACACTTTGATTAAAAAAAAATATATACCCTAATTTTGTTGTAAAATGATGTTATGGCAAGTAAATAGATACCCAACATGTCACATTTTAAAATTGCACACGCTCATGCAAACTGTGGTACTTAAAAATCTCCATGGGTGATGCTTTACAAATTTCTACAGGTTAGCAGTGTAAAGTTACAGAGGAGGTCTAGTGTGAGAATTATTGCTCTTGCTCTGATGTTCGTGGCGATACTTTACGTGCGGTTTGAACACCATTTACATATGTGTGCATGGCCTATGTATGAGTTTAGCACTACGTGCAAGCACAGGGGGACGGGGACACTTTAACCTCTTGGCGCCTCCCAGCCCTTTAAGAGTTTCAGAAGCCGGGGGGTGATTCCCCATCACGGTGGTCACATGGTCGGAAAAGGTCCCGACCGAAAGGGGAGATCGGGACCTTTCCGGGAGTCGCGGACAAATGTGCTGGGAGCACGCAGGGTGTGCTCTCTCAGCACTTATGTATTTTCTAATTGCACGCAAATATGCGGCCACTCGGCATCGTGGCCCAGACACTGAGAGGCCGCATATTTGTGTACGATCGGCTTCAAGGGGTTAAACTTTTTTTAATGAGTTTTTTTGCATTGTCCCTTTTAAACAAATATAATCACTTTTATTCTTTTCACAAGAAATGAATGCATCCCTTGTGATAGAAATAATTAGTGACAGGTCCTCTTTATGGAGAGATATGGGGTCAGTAAGACCCCACATATCTCCTCTGCAAAATAAAGCATTGGATCAAAAAAAAGCATTGGTTTAGTGCAGAGAGATGAGTGGAGACCATCTTTCCTTCACTCATCTCTATGCCCAGCGCTGGGATCGTTCAATGGTTTTTAAGGTAAGGCTGAGAACTACCAAGCAGCGGCGAGGGGCTGGGTTTTTTCGTCACCTGCATCGGTGCTTTTTTTCCATTACGGCTGAAAGCGGTGTTTTTGGCCGAATCGTTTCGGCCACCGAAATTTCGGTGCATCCCTAAAGACTCTCTCCTCCAGTGTTTCACTGCTGCTGACTCTATGGTGTCCGTTTATGAACCAGCGGTAATAGATCGCTGCTCAGTTCTCCGGCATTCTTGAACACAGTTCTCCTGCGAATGCCTTTTATGAAGCAGTTCTCCGAACGAAGGAAGACCGGTCCAAACGCTGGAAAACGGCTGATTTTACTATAATCTCGCGAGATTACAGTAAAATCCGTTTAAGCAGAGGTAAATTATCTGCTTAGTTTGCAGTCCCTCCGTATCTTCAGTTCTGGGCTGGAGAATCTGGAGGGAGAACACAGATCGCCAGTGAAGGGCTGAACATGTTCTCCGCTGATCTCCTAAGTGTCATAAACTGTCAATGACTAGAGAATAGCTGCGATCCTCTGAATCGCAGCTATTCTCTGTGTTCTAAACGGACACCTATATGCGTTCCCACATGTACAGATTAAAACTTTACAGTCACTGAATCTAATATTAAGTGCACTATATATGTGAAATTTGCACATAGGTTGTGATATGCCCTTTATATGTGGGATTTGCACAAATGGTATGCACTGTAATTTTAGAGCACATGGGTATTGTGCGGCACTGACATTTATATTTGTGTCCTCAGATGCAGGTTTTTAAATTGTTACAGATCTGAAAGCGGTGCTTGTTTACACACCTCTGTTTCCATGGAAACGTAGCTTTGTTCAGATTGATAAATAAGGCCTCATGTATGCTACGCTAAAAAAAAAAATGCTGTTTTTACAGCCATTATTATTCTGGCCAATGGAATCTGTTAACGTTCAAAGGCTTAAGGTACCTAACCTTGTGTGCAGTATGTGGTTTTAGGCACATTTGTTTTTTTTTTTTTTTTTTTAAAGCATCTTTTCCCTTGCCAGGAGTTCTGGCGTTCAGAGGAGAAAGGCAAACGCCCTGTGTGTATGAGGCATAAAAAACACTTTTAAAATTATGGCCATGTGAATGAAGCCTAAATTGACTCGTCAAGCTGGGTGGTACTTGCAGGACCGCCCACTGTTACGGTTTTAGCTGATGTAATTAAATTTGAGCCATGTATGTCCAGCTTAATGTGTAGTTACGAAGCCAATGTAATATTGCAGCTTGCCAATCCTTAACCAGTAGGGACTGTCTACCACAGATTTATTGCAGCAAAGCAGCCCTGCTGCACCGCATCATGTGCATGATCCAGCTTTTCCAGGTAGGGGGTGTATGCACCTGCAGCCCTCGCTGTGCTGTCATGCACTACAGCACAAGCCGATCAGCAAATCCCGGCCAATGATTTATGGCCAGAACTCGCTTAGCGAATGACAGAAGAGAGCCCAATGGGTCTGTGTGTTTGTTTGTTTTTTTGTTTTGTTTTTTTTTTTTTTTCCCCTCCCTGCAAAGTAGCTTAGTTAGAGCAGCATACACTGCTCCAAACAGTTAAAGGAACACTTTGAAACCACATGAGCTCTCAATGGGGAAAAATATGCTGACTATCTATATTGATATGGACTGGGTAATGTGTTAGGAACATAAGGATGCCCCATCGTTTGATGGAAATGAAAATTATCAGCCCACAGAGGACTGAATTCAAAGACACCCCGAAAATCAAAGTGAAAAAATGATGCAACAGCCTAGTCAATTTTGCTGAAATTTCATTGCAGCAACTCAAAAATGGTACTCGGTAATTTGTGTGGGCCCCACGTGCTTGTATGCATGCATGACAATGTCGGGGCATGCTCCTAATGAGACAGTGGATGGTGTCCTGGGGTATTTCCTCCCAGATCTGGCATTGTCGTGCACCACGAGGAACCCCACTGTACCAACGTAGGGTCTGATAATGGGTCCAAGGATTTCATCACGATACCTAATGGCAATCAGGTGCAATTGTCTAGCCTGTAGAGGTCTCTGCATCCCTCCACAGATGTGCCTCCCCAGACCATCATTGGCCCACCACCAAAATGGTCATGCTGAACGATGTTACAGGCAGCATAATGTTCTCCACGGCTTCTCTAGAACCTTTCACATCTGTCACATGTGCTCAGGGTGAACCTGCTCTCATCTGTGAAAAGCACAGGGCGCCAGTGGTGGACCTGCCAATTCTGGTGTTCAATGGAAAATGCCAATTGAGATATCTGGTGCTGGGCAGTGAGCACAGGGCCCACTAGAGGACACCGAGCCCTCAGGCCACCCTCATGAAGTCTGTTTCTGATTGGTCAGAGATGTTCACACCAGTGGCCTGCTGGAGGTCGTTTTGTAGGGCTCTGGCAGAGCTCATTCTATTGCTTATTGCACAAAGGAGCAGATACCAATCCTGCTG